TGCTGTTTATTTGCAGAAATGAAGGGGATTTGTTCTTCAGCAGTCAGCCCAGGTGCCCAGTGTTGGCCAGGCCTGTAGCACAGCATGGTTTGGGGCTTTTTTTGGGTTGTTTTGGCATCCTGTGGTGTGCCAGGGCCAGTCCTGTCGCTCCCTGGGGAGTGATGTCACATCTCCTGGGGCAGAGCTCCCTGGTGGCAGGTCCCCTTCCCAGAGGGTGTTGACACCTGCAGCAGGCAAAGTGAAAACAAACAGGTGGGTTTGGGTGCAGCAAAGCTTTTGGGTGCTCCTGGGCTTTGTGTGCCCACAGAGTTCAGAGGGAAGAGCCTGGTCTCTGCTCGTGTGAGGAAAGCACCTCAGGAGTCTCTGTCAGGCTTTGCAGTGGGGGCCTTGAGATGGTTTAATCCACAGCTCTGTTTTGTGTGAGCCTCTGCTGAGCTGGGAGGGCTGCTGGGAAGCCATGGAAGTCCTAAAGCTCTCAGCCCACAGAGGCTGCCCAGCCCTGCTGCTCCCTGTCCCTCCAGGTCCCATGGCCTGGCAGTGCAGTGGACCTGGGTCCCTCCTGTGCCTCCTGCACGGTCCCAAGGAAGGAGGGACAGTCCCCTCAGCCCAGCACCATGAGGTTTCCCCCTCCTGCCCTGGCACTGACAGACTGCTGAGCTGTTTGCTTCTTGCCAGTCCCACGTGCTGGCTGCAGCTGGAGCTGTGAGGCTGGAGGCTGAGTCCCTTCAGTGTGGTTCCCAGCAGGTCTCTGAGGGCTGAGAGCAGAGGAGGAGCCTTAAGGCCTTTGGCTGCTCCTGGATCAGCAGAACCCTGCACTGGGGAGCAGACCTGAGCCAGGTGGTCCCTTTTTTGTCCTTTAGATTCTAGCAGAGGGGCTCTTTCTGTTTCTCCTCTCTGCACTGAAAATCCAGAGGGGAGCAGAGCTTTCTGGAAGCTTACCCCTGAGGCATTTCTTAATTGTCTGTGTGTTTTGCACAGGTAGAAAAGGAGGCCACAAAGGCCGGGCGAGACAGTACACGAGTCCTGAAGAGATTGATGCCCAGCTCCAAGCAGAAAAGCAGAAGGCAAGGGTATGTGTTTGTGGGCACAGTCTGAATCCTGAATATCTCTGCCTGGGGACACTGCAAGGCAAGATCCAGCCTGGTTCCTTGCAGAAGTGAGCCCAGGTGGAGCATCCCATTCACAGCTTGAAGATTCCAGATGGAGATGGTCACACAGCAGCTGGAGACATCTCTTCTCCCTGTATTGCACCATTCTAGTCTCCAGTGTCAGATAATTCTTTTATCCATGCTCTGCAGATTGGCTGTGGAGAATTGTCACATCTTCACACCTTATTCTGTGCTGGGATTATTGGATTCACCTTCTTTCTCTTCTAGATTTAGAAGACAAACTCCTTTGCCTTCTTCCTGTACCCATGGTTTACTTGTTTGCCTCTGACTTGTAGGGGAAGAGAATGGAGTTTTGTGGCCTGTGTCCTTTTTTGAGTGTGTTTCTGTGCCCCAGCATAGGACTGTAAGTGCTTCCCCAGCTGCCTGACTGGTTTTATAGGAGGGGTGGCTACTTTCTGCAGTACTTGCCCTCCTCTATTCCCAAATGGTCACTCACTGCAGCTTTCTGTGACTTTCAGAAAGTGCTGCTTAAGCCCAAATGCACCATTCCAGCTGACACCTGACTACAGGAGGATAATGCTACCCCATCCAGGAAATACTGATGAATACCTCTAAGAAGAAGGTTACTCTGTCAACCAGTTAGGAGCCATGTTCCTGGCTCCTTTTTAATGCTCTGACCAGCTGTAACTCCAGGGGATTGTCTGGTTTGCTGCTTAGCCACATAACCTGACTTTGTGTTGGATTTCTTCTTGCAAAGCATAACTCCCCTTGGTTTGTTTTCTGATTCCACCTTCTTGGTTTCGTGCCATCTTCCCAAATCATGAAACCACTTACAGGTCTGATCCTGTTTTCCAAAATTATTCCAACTCCTACCAGTGCAATGTCATTCACAAACTTTTGAAGTCTTCCCTGCTTCTGAGCTGCTCATAAAGAAACCAGCTGGAAATGGAACAGAGCAGGCAGGACCCCACTTGGAATGTCAGCCTTGTCCAAAACAGCCCAGAGAACTGCTCTTTGAGGATGTTTTTTTAAATGCTCATCCACAGCACACAGCAGTGGTTCCATCTGACACTATTTTTCTAGGGAAATCTTAAAAAAGAAACAGTTAAGATCACTCCTCACTCCCTGTAGCTCATCCACTTTGCCACTCCATGTGTGGAGGGGTATTTGCCAATGGGAAAGCAAACTATCCACACCCATGTTGGTTCTTCTAATCTTATCATCTCATGATTTACAAATTCACTCCTAGACCTCTGCCTGGTAAAAGCTCTGCTAAAAGAGCTGTAATTTCTTGGGTAATAATGTTCTGGTTGATGGTTGTCAATTTGCTTCTTCTCTCTATGTTTTTTTATCTACATCTAGGATGGGATCCAGCTCATTTCCAGTCCCTGACATATTGTGCTGTGGAAAAACAGGGCCAAAAACTCTCCTGGAGATCTTTAATTTGTAGAAAATAAAGTGCTGGTCATTTCCCTGGTCTTACACAGAGAGAGAGAGCTGCTGGGGCAGGGGATGCACCCTTAGGTGTTCAGAGTGAGCTCTTGTTTTGCTCAGCCAGGGCCACGTCAGGTTCACCCATGTCCCTCCAAACCCATCTCATTGAAGAGTCCCTGTTGGATTTGGGGTTATCACTGATGTACATTTTCTCCCTGTGACTCTAGGAAGAAGAGGAGCAAGAGGAAGGAGGTGAAGGAGCAACTGGGGACCCCAAAAAGGAGAAGAAGTCTTTAGATTCAGATGAGAGTGATGAAGATGATGAGGATTATCAGGTACTGTCATTCTCAGGGCACCAAATGCACTTGCACCAGCCAGGTTCTTGGGGCAGTGGACAGCTGCCTGCTCTTGACTCTGAGTTCTCTTTGAGAACTACATACAGTAAATTTTTTATGGAAAAACTATTTTTAGGAGCTCAAAGCCTTACTTGACAGCATTTTGTTGTTGGAAAGAAAACTTGTGTATTCTTACAAGTGAAACTGTCACAGTTTAGGGTCAGGGCTGCTCCAGACCTGTAACAGGAGCTCTCTGTTAACCCCTCTCCCCCCTAAAGGGGAAGAGAAAGGGGATAAGTTATCAGTTAGAAAAGAAAGCAGCTGTACTGAAAATACTACTACTAAGAATAACAATAAAATGGAATATATACAAATATATACAAAACCAGTACCAAACCTGGTGACAATATGTTACTGTCACCCCTGATGTTGGGGAGCAGCCCCTGGGGAACAGTCCCCGGCTGGACT